TTGGTCTGAAAGGTGCCACTGGACTCAAACGTTGTTCTGCTGCTTCAGACCAACACAGCTACCCACCTGGATAGTTCTACTGTAGACCAACATGGCTACCCTCTGAAACAGGTCTTGAATATAAGGGTTTTGTTGTTGTTGTTGTTGTTGTTGTGTGAAGCTATGGCCATCAGACCACAAGAAACCCATCAAAAAGGCCAACTTTTAGATTAAAAATGTGTCCAACTTTTAGATGTAGAGATGTGACCTGCTAACACTCCAAATTCAGCCTCTGGGAGTAAGGGTGGTGGACAACAGTAATGAAATTGGCTAGAAAAATAGATGCAGCTGGATACTATGGAGGAGAACATTTTAGGGACTGCCAATGTGAGTGTCTGGGTCTGAGACAACACATTAGATTCGGTTCCTTGCAGAACGGTGTGCATAACCTACAATGTTTGGGGAAAACAATTCTAAAATAAATTAAAGTTACTTTGTGAACAAAGTAGTTTAACTTACTGGTTTTCACACTGTATCCAAGTATCTCTGTTTCTGCCACAGTTACCTTTCTCAGTCCCTTCTATATTCAGTCTATCATAGCAATATTTGTCAGCAGCTGTCACATCTAAAAACAGAAGTACATTTATTTAGTAATAACATCTATCTTTTTTTAAAAGGGAACTGTAATCACAAAGACTGAAACCAGAGTACAACCTATAAAATATATTCTAGGTACTCCAGTCATTTTGTTAGATCCTGAGAATCCATCCTGGAGCCTTCTGCCTCTGCTAGCAGAATGGATCCATGGGGTCCAACTCAATACTTATATTACCTTCAAAATAAATTAAGCCCTTCACAGGGAATTTTCAAAAAGAAACATCCCTGCCTGAAGGGCTTTCAACGCAAGTGTACATAAGAACATAAGAACATAAGAGATGCCAATGTTGGATCAGGCCAAAGGCCCATCCAGTCCAACACTCTGTATCACACAGTGGCCAGAAATACCAGTGCCATCAGGAGGTCCACCAGTGGGGCCAGGACATTAGAAGCCCTCCCACTGTGTACACAGTGCCCCAGACCTCAGGGATAGGGAGAAATAAAAGGGAATTGGAATGTGAAATGGATAATAGTGTATAAAGCACTGCATCGTTATGAAAGCGCACAAGTTCGTGGTTGTTTTCTTTTTAGGAACTTGCAGTGTTTCAGGTAAAATGGCTGGCTGTTGAATCGTCTATGGAGTCCCAGCCTGCAAAAGGATTCCTGCAGCCTTTCATTGTATTCTCTAATTCCTGCGGCTTAAAAAGGACCAGAGGATACATGAAAGAAGATGGACAATCCCCTAGTGTGGTGTAGTATTTAGAGTGTCATATTAGGATCTGGGCAATCCAGGTTTGAGTCCACACTCTATCTTCTGGGTGATGATGGGCCAATCACACACTCTCAGCCTAACCTACCTCATAAGGTTGTTGTGAATATAATACCGAGGACAGAGGAGAACAATGTGCTTAACTTGGGTCCCTACTGGGGAGAAAGGTGGGATATAAATGAAGTAAATAAAATAAACAAACTGTGGCAGAAAATGTCTGATAACAAGTGTGCTGGCTTCAAAACAGGGACAGGCTGACAAAAAAACCTCCTTTTTAACATGTCATACAGTCTATCTCTCATGCTAGATGTCATCTGCCCTGATACCAAGGGACTTGGCTTTCAAAGGGATATCAGCAAAAAAAACTTTTAAAGTATTTACTCACGTTCTCCCCAAATATATTTACACTGTCTGTCTCTTGTTTTGCATCGTCCTCCAAAACAAGCACCCTAAACGAAAAGCAACAAAAGGACGTAACATTAATATTTTTTCCATATCAAAAAAAATAGCCTGATATATTTGCTAAAGAGAGCAATTATATTTTCTACTAGAGTCGGCTTTGGGGGATTTACAGGTGTGGGGAGTTTTACAATGAATGGTGAGAAGGTTTTGGACACTGCTGTGCTCCAGATTACATCACTGGCCACACAATGTGGGATTTCCAAATGCAGAAATAAATGAGCTATTTTCCTTTATTTATTTACTTTTGGTTTATCACTCCTTTTTTCCTCCTGTAAGTATGTGGATAAAGGTTTGGATTCAACAATAATTTCTGCTGATGAAAATTACCTCCCCTGTCCCACTGCAGCCCAAAATGCTGCTCCTGGGACCTAGGGGGACCCCCCGAAAACCACATAGGATGAGTTAGAGAGTAATAGAGGAAGGAGGGAACAGAGAAACTCACCCTCCAGCAGAAATGTAATGCTGGATCCAACCCAAGACCTTGATCTTTTTTAAAGAAAATAAAGCTAGAATTATACAACAGGAACTAAATTCTATAGTAAACATCTAAAAGCAGAAATTTCACTACCTCATCTGAGTCCTTTTTACAGATTCTACAAATGTATGAACAGACCCACTTTAATTTGCTTATCCTATATTGTTACAATAAAAATAAAATCAAATTAAAAACCACACTTACCTGTTTGTTATCACATGAGTACCCATCCATTTTATGGAGATTTGGAGAACACTAGAGATAAAGCGGAAGGAACCACTTGATAAGCTGGACAGTGAGTGACCTTTTAAAGTTGTATTTTAATATCTAAAATTAATGTAAATGTAGCTGTTCAAACTTAGCTTTTGTACATTGCCTCCCTCCCCCAAAATTTGCTTTAAGCAATTCCATATTACTCAGATTTTGTGTTTCTTTTGTTTTGCAACCTCACCTGATTGGAAGATCCTGAACAACGTTCTGGAATATCACAATCATTTACTGCTCCTCTGCACACAACTCCCTTTTCTTCAAACTGGGGAAAGAAAGATCAGAACATGTCTATACCTGGTCAACAGTTCAACCTAGAATATCACACAATTGCTTTTTCTGAAATGCTAAACTGACATTACTGTGATGCTGTAACCGGGGATGATTTTTTTTAGCTGTTTATTTTGTGTTTAGTTCCTTTGTCATTGTAGTCACCGGGGATGATTTTATTTTTAGCAGTTTATTTTGTGTTTAGTTCCTTGCAGGAGGCCAGTGCTTAGTTTTATATCCTTGAGGTTTCAGAAGCGCAGATAAGGCCCACCTACAGACCATTATCTTTTGTTGCCTTGCACTGACACTACAAAGACTGTACTTAGTAGGAATGGCCTTGGACAACTGAAACTGATTGTGGGTTCCTCTGCAATGCCTAGCATGTGAATGTCAACTAGTTTAGCTTTCAATTACATCTGTCAAATACTTTATTTACATATGTCAAACTCCCTGACTGGTATTGGGACCAGGTGAACCTGGTTACTAGATCTAATTGGTAATTAGTGTCTATGGTCAGGTGTTCCCAGAAGAGATTAAAAATGAAGTCTCTATTTTCTTTGTCTAACTTTAGACCCTTAGCTGGTTATGCTACAGGGTGCTATTGTTATTCCAGTTGGGAAAACCCTGAGATTCTGTCGAATGGACTGAGATTATTGTGGTCTGCCTTTTGAACTGCTGTAAGAGGATTGTTCTTTGTTATGCTTCAAGAATTGCTGTGGATAACTGGTACTGTAATAACCAAGGTAATTTAGTTAGAGATATTAAAAACCTTTTTTATTTTCTGTTCACATAGTATGCTGGTATTGCTTTGCACCATAAATAAAACCTTTTAGTTACATACCGGTTTGCAGAAGATTTTCTAGTTGCCTTTTTTGGCCCTACCAACATTGTGTGTGTGTGTATAGAACTCCTGACTCTCAGGAGATGGTTTGGATTTCTGTTTAATGTCCTAAAGGAAGCAGGGTTGGCTTGTGCTTTGCATTCCTGGATGAAGCAAGCCTGGTGGCAGCCTACTGTGGTCTAGGAGCAAGAGTAACTTGACTCCTGGTTTTGTTAATGTTAGTCCAGAGTGCTCTGCCCATCAAGGGGCTCCAGCCCAACCTCCTGCTGGGTTGGCATGAGAGTGTCTGAGGTCTAGTGATAACTACTGGGTAGGAGCACTACAGTCATTGCCTTTAATTTGATTAGCAATACCTGGGAAACTTTCAGACTTAGAGACAAAGAGACTGTTACAAAGATGTCCTCCTTCCAAAGAAAACGTTTCAAGAGTTTTTGTTAAACTCTGAAAATGAACCTTTCAAAAATAAGTAAGCCCTGCTAATTAATCTTCATGAAAGCAGACAAGCTGGTCTATTTTAAATAGCAAAACAAAAGCCACTTAAATACATACCTGGCATTTCTTACAACAAAGTCCATCACTGCATTGGGAGGTAGCCGTTAGAGAGCAGTTATTACAGCAATCGCCTCCTTCAACTGCACATTCCTGAGGAACAGAAGCAATTGTGTAACAGAAGTTTGGAAAGCACACGTCATGAAAAGCATCCACATCTTCCTCTAAACATTAAATAAATAAAACACTGTAGGTGGGAGTAACTTGACAATCAGGGTCTTGGAGAGGGGAGGGCTGCAAAAGTAAATGGAGGGCAGACAGTGTTTGAATTGTACAGAATATCCCAAATGTGGACCATAGAAGCACATTACAATACTGATCATTTTATTTTCAATCCCTTCCTTAAGAATCCCTAGCACAGAATTTGTTTGCCTCATTATTACTGCATGCCAACATTTTCAGTTAGCTATCTACCTCAACCGCCAAAATCAGGTTAGTCCCCACCAGGACAAATTCCACTCCAATCAGTGTATATGTAAAATAAGGCACTTGCCACAAATATACTTACTTACACTTTATACTTACTTACACTAAACCTGACCTGCCATATTGTTGCCTTCTCATCCAAACTGGGAAGATCCTTGGAGCTCCTCACAATCCTCTTCAATTTTAAACCCTCCTGAATAATTTGGTGCCATTTGCAAACTTGCTTCTTAAACATTTACTGCCAGCTCCAGATCACTTATGAAAAAATTAGATCACCCTAGTCACAATCCTAACCCCTGGAGGACCCCACTGTTTACTCCACTCCATCACAAGAATTCTGCATTGTTTCCTACACTCCTGCTTACCATTGCTTAGCCAGTTTCTAATCCACGACAGGACTCATCCTCTCATCCTATGTCTGCTTATTTTACACAGGAACTTTTGGCGGCTTTGTGAAAAGCCAAGTATTTAACAACCTCTATTATAATCATGTATTAAACTGAGTTACTGAAAGGCAGGAAGCTGTTTTGCATGGCCACAATACTGCAGGGACACAGAACTGATTGGACCAATGTTCTCTGATAGGATAAGGAACAGCATTTGTCATTTTTGGTTTTGTTTCCCTTCTAATGAAAATTTAATGTTGCTACAAATGAAGAAGGAAGCCAGATCTCCCAAATGAAGAAAGAAGCCTGACCCTTATTTTACTTTCTAGCCACACAGTCAATATAGGTATTAGCTCCTAGAATTCCATAAAAAGGACAGACAAGTAGTCTTGTGTTTGCTGCACTACAGTACAATTTTCTCTTTTTTGCACCCTACATTAAAAGCATAGGGAACCTCCATCAGCTCCACTACATATGTGTACATAATACATGTATCTTGTTCATTACATAATGTAACTAGTTAGAAAGAAAATACCATGAGTTAAGGCAAGATTTCCCCATATAAGATTGTTTATATCTTAACTATTCCAATT